CTCTGGACTATCATAGTCCCGATAGTCATCATATCTATCACCTCTTCGATCATCACTAGATCTTTTATAATCAGAGTCCCTCCGTCTGCTTCTGGATTCACGCTCATCACGATCATCCCTGTCTATAATGGAACCGTATCTTCCACTTCGTTCTGTTCTACTCACTCTGCCAGAGAAAATAATTTTCACATAATCTGTAGCAAAGCATCAGGAAATACAAACCCTCTACAGATCAGTTTATAAGACAAATTTTTAAAAGTCCAGCTGGGCATGGTGGCACACACCTGTAATACCAGCACTCCAGAGACTGAGGCAGGAGGATTACTGAAAGTTCGAGATCAGCCAAGGCTACAAAGTGAGCTCAAAGCCAGCCTGCACTGCACAGGCAGACCCTGTCTCAGAAAGAGACAGATACATAAAATCCAAATAATTTAATGTATCCCTTAAAATTTTACCACCAGTCTCCTTTCCAAAATGATGAAAATGCCTATATCCCTACTGTAAAAATAGCTTTCAGGAATTATGCTAAATAAAAAAATAGCTATCAAATATTTAGGTTGTTTTTGAGAGTAGGTCATATTCTCAAAGTTTATTCTTCTGGTTTCTCTATAATCTACCCATTATTCACTTCCAATGCAGAGTTTAGTGAGCAAAGCTAGGAAGAAAGCAATTACTCACTCTTTATCTCATTTCAAAGAGTTTATCCTAATACATTTTTTTTAAAAAATCTTTTTTTTTTTTCCTTATAAACGCAAGGATCTGAGTTCAATCCCTGGTTCTGCAAAAAAAAAAAAAGATTTTTAAAGATTTTTTTTTCTGCAGAACCGGGGATTGAACTCAGGCCCTTGCACCTGTGAGGCAAGCACTTATTCTACTGAGCTATCTCCCTGGACCCTAATATGCTTTCAAATTACCACACCTACTGCTAAATGGACCAATAACCTAGATGAGCGAAGCTCTTCCATCAAGCTATTAACCAAGTAGTAGTGTTTCTCTTTTGGAGATAGGTCTTGCTATGTAGTTCAGGCTGGCCTCAAACCCATAATGATGCAACTAACTGTCTCAGCTTCTGAAGTGCTGGGATTATAGATGTGAGCCACCATGCTTAGCCTAAGTATTCTTTCATACACATAAGCAGATGATTATCCAAAACTAGCTCCCTTAGATAACACTTATTTTCCATGGTATCTGGTTTAGTTTTGGTTACCCACAGACCTAGGTATCATAGGAAAATATAATGTTAAGAGGTTTAAATCAGGGGCCTGAGTTCAATCCCTGGTTCTGGAAAAAAAAAAAAAAAAAGAGGTTTAAATTAGGGCCAGGGATCAAGTTTAGCGGTACATTGCTTGCCTGGCAAGCTTGAGGTTTTGTTTTTTTGTGGTACCGGGGATCAAACTTCAGACCTTGAGCTTGCCAGGCAGATACTTATGTCACTGAGTTATCTCCTTGGCCCCAAGCTTGAGGTTTTGAGTTCAGTTCCTGGCACCAAAAAAATAAGAGGTTTAAATCCATTTGATCACAGATGAAAAGTTCTTTCATAAATTACTTATCAGATTCATAAAACTATAATCACAAGACAAAGGGAAAATTGTAAGAGACTCATTTAAAATGAGTATGGTATACTCCTCTGAAGTCTCAATCTCAGTTGTTCCTGGACTTTGCCTTAGAACCTAACTAATAAATGTTTGCAGAAAATGCAAATATTGGGGGGCCTAGCCCTAGCTCAGTCCTTTAAGTGGCTGCTTCCACAAAGCTGTCAGCCTCAGGTTGCTGGAGTTCGAACCTCACAACTCTCCCGCTGGCCAAAAGTGC